GTGGGAAGTTATATATGTTATTCCGTGTTGCAGCTTTAAAAATTCTACTATCATGTGAACAACCCTCCCAACCGTCCATGACAAAAATGAAACACATTTTGAAGTCACATATGATCATGACATTCTGCATCGAGACCCGCAACGACCGATGAATGTGATCTTCTCATTTTTTTGAACACGTGCATCAACGTGTGTTCCATCAATTACTCTAATAAATTCTGGAAAGATAACGATGAGTTACATAATAATGTTATTTTTTTTGAAAACCGAATATAATAAATTTCAGACAATGTCTTAAAGAATGACATATAACGTGCATCATGTGAAATCTCTGTGGGGGTCCATTCGAACGTAGGATCTGTTGGTTTTTTGACTTATGAAGAAAAACTGACAAGTGCTTTCAATCCAACTAAGAACTATCTGCAAATTATTTCAGAAGAGTGTTGAAATCGCTTCATTGCTCCTCACATTGATCATTCCGCGATAATATGTAGAGGGTTATCACTAATTTCTCTTGCGAAGTCGTTCCGGAAGAGTCATGAAGTCTATGATTTCTATGTAGTTTCTCCATCAGATCGTTGAATACCACTTGTGTCATGTAGAACATATTGCTAAATCTTGTTGGTTGGCCCGCAAGCAACTCCGAGCGCTATATGTACGAGTTATAATATTCGTACATCAAACATGCAACATCTGCAACTCTCATTCTGCGTCTTTCTGTGTTTGCATCCATGTAGGTCAGTATCGTACCGCCTAAAACAGAAGCATCAATAAATTAGCTACAATTATATAATGTTACAAACAACTCAATAAACATATAAGCATTAATGAATAAGCCATGTTTGAAGCAGTTCAAATATCCAAAACAATATGAAAAACAATGAACAAATATGTCCCATGATTTCTATGTAGTTTCTCCATCAGATTGTTGAATACCACTTGTGTCATGTAGAACATATTGCTAAATCTCGTTGGTTGGCCCGCAAGCAACTCCCCAATCCCTTTGTCCCCAACATATGAGAATGTCAGTAAGAGGAGCACTCAATGTACGAGTTATAATATTCGTACTTCAAACATGTAGCATCTGCAACTCTCCTTTTGCGTCTTTCTCTGTTTGCATCCATGTAGGTCTGTATCGGACCGCCTAAAGCAGCAACATCAATAAAGTAGCTACAATCATATAATGTTACGAACAACACATATAAGCATTAATGAATAAGCCATGTTTGAAGCAGTTCAAATATCCAAAACAATATGAAAAACAATGAGTGAATATGTCCCATGCGATTGTAAATAAAATAAGTCTCTCAAATGTTCCTGCGATCATGAAAATATCATAAGTACGCGACTCTATGGTCATCTGACATCTTGAAGAAAAAATCTCTCTAGGACTAATCGTCAAGCAACTCTATCGCAAACAAGTACAACGGCGAATCCTAAAAAAATTATGTAGTTGCATTTTGAATTAGCAGACCCTGTTTGATAGAAGTTGATTGAGATGTGCGGGGTTCGGTGCTGCATAAAGCCACCAGCTGTGATATCTGGTTTCTAAGAAAAGCGACTCACCTTTTTTTATTCTCAATCTGCAGACGCTTAGAACAACATGTAGACTCAAGTTCATGGAGACCCGGGCTTGGGACTTGGGTGGAATAACCCGATTGGCGGCTCCCATGTTTTCGGGGGTGCCACCAAACCCCGTCTCACTGGGGCACATACATTGTTGCTATACAATCCAATTTCTCCACCTCAGGATCGATTCCATTGAATTTAATTTTTTTTTGCACCAGACACCGCATACAAATTCATAGAACATCTACTTCAATTTAAAAACAAAATGAAAATTGACTTAATTATGGGATATTTCAAAAATGTTTACTGCAAGTTTTTCTGCCCACCACTAATGGGAAGCATTGATCGTTCGCTTCACTGGATCTCGCCCTAAGCACGTTGATCATCGTTTCAATTCCTTCCAAGTTTTTCAATTTTTTTTGAGCCGATCCCGTTTGTTTTTTAATTGCATCTTACCGTACTCTTTGCATTACCACCACTGTTAAAAATAGGTTGTAGATTTATTTCTAGATCAATCTTCTTGAGGTAAATGTCACAATATCATTTTTGTTTCTCCACACATTCACACCTCCATACACAACCACACAACACACCATCACATCCAACACCCCGCCACTCCACGACAACAACTCCACACACAACCACACCACACAACATCACACACACCACCCCACTACTCCACAACACCACATCCACACGCCACACCACCACACACATCACCACACCTCCGCACCACCACACCTACACACCTCCACACCTCCACACCTCCACACACAACCACTTCACACACCATCAAACACACCGCCCTACCACTTCACCCCACCATATCCACACACCCCACCACCCCACACCCCATCACACCTCCACACACCCCACACACCCCATCACACCTGCAGCAGCCGAAGCCGACCCCCTATTAGGCCTCCTCTTCTCAAATTTTCAGTTAAATATCAAATTCTCACTCAAATCAAACAACAAATTCCAATTGAAACATCAAAACCGAAACATCAACAACTAAAACCGCCACAATTATGAATGTAAAAATTTCAAAAACCCAAAAAATCTTAAAAAATTGTGCTACACAGAAAACACTATTTACCCATTAAGTAAATCCACCAAGAAACTCTTTAAAAACCAATACGGCTAACAGAGCAAATCTACCAAGAAAAGTTAAGAGATAGAGGATACTGAAACAAGTAACAAACATCTGGAAACCCTCCTCACAGTTGTCGGGTAGCAAAGAGAAAGAAGACGAGCAAATGCAGGATGAGGACGAGCGGGGCACAAGAGAAAACTTGAGAGCTCTGGAGCGGGTTAGGATAGAAGACGCGAAGCTAGGTGGAAGGATATCGCGAAGTCAGGGGGTGTGGGGCATTTAGTAATAATTTCGCGAAGGAATACGGGCCGCGGGGTCGAACCTGCTGCACACATTTTATTTAAACATCTCGCACCGTAGGAGGGTGGATGGAGTTTTCTTTTTGCTATTAGATGCTATACTTCCATTTGAATATTTTTTTAGATTGTTATGATTTGAAAACTTAATTTTATAACCTTTTTGGTTGATATTCACAATCAATACTAGTATTATTAAGGATTTAAATAAGTTGGAATATTGTCAGCTTTGTCCCGTTTACGTAGGCTTGGACTTATAACCTAAATCAGTCGAGTTTATTTAAATATTTTTTTGAGCTTAATTTTAAAATAGACAATCTAGTTGAGATTCACAATCAATATGGTCATCATCTGGGAGTTTGCTTGAAATTATTATATTTGTAATTAAGTACTGATATTTTAAAAATAGATCCCCTATTTGAGATTTAAATTCAAAATGGTCATCATTGGAGATTTTGAAAGTTCTTATAATTGTAATTTCGATTCAACATTGTCATTTGAATGTTGTTAGGGCATTATTTCTATCACCTTTAATCCTTGTAAGGAGGATCTAACTGGTCAGGGCTATCGAGAGTATCAGACTAACTAGGATGAGATTTACGATCCTGTTCTGATTTAGCATAAATTTATACTAACCCCGCACACCAGTCTCAAGCTGAGTGTTTGAACATTTAGCATAGTTATCGGATCACATGCAGGTGTTTTAAAGTTGTTAATTTAGACTAATTTTAGGGAACATTACATGTATATTTGAGTCATTGGATGCGTGCAAAGTTTCCTTCTAGACGCTCTAAGAACATACCTTTTTTTAGCTAGCGCATATTTATTTTGGATCCGGTGGCATGTTTTATGTTTTAAAAGAATATTCTAATTTAGACTCCAGGCTAGATGTCATTTCAGCTTTTCAACTTTTCTTGGGCTGCGGGATTCTCTTTTATGTCTTATTCTATTCAGGTGAGCCCAAATGACCTTTTTTCGTCTATGAATAAGTGGGTCTTTTAGTTTATTTTCATTCTATTTAAAATCTAATTTTTTGTGCATTTTTGTGATGTTTGATTGAAAGAAGTTATAGTCGCCTTCTGAGAGTGAAGTTCCAAGTCCTCTTAAAGTTCCTTTTGTTTCTTAAATTTTTGTATTTTTTTTCATTATTTTATTTTTTTCATGCTTGCTCAAATTTTTAGAGGTTTCATTTAGATTCTATTTATTTTCTATTTAAATTCTATTTAGGTGTTCTAGTCAATGCATAATCTGGTAGCCTCCCGACATCGTCACTGCATAGGGGGTTGCATTGGGGAGTAATATGCCTTTCCAGTCACCTACAAGGCATGAATAGTAAGTGCTTTGCAATACCACGGTGGTGACTTTTAAAATACCCGCTTAGAAGAAGTTCATATGCCTCAAGATACATCCCTGAGAATTACAGGATTTCCCCGCCGCATTGGGTACTTATTATATAGAGATGGATAGCAAGATGGCAAGATATCTGGGTAAGTAGGTAGGTAGGTGTGACTGCAGGGTTGGTGGTAGGAGTTGAGAGCAGTAGGGCTGATGCCCGAGTGACCACCAAGGGGAAGGCGGATTGGATAGATAATTAGTTTATCATTGCTATTATATATTAATTTTTTGTTTTGAACTTTCTGATTGGACAAAATGTGTGGTGGAGGTACAGGAGGAGTATTGGTGGCGCCGAATCTATAGTGGGCTTTGGCAAGCTTTGGATAAAAAAGGTTGTGTTTTAAGAGCTATTCATATGCACGGATTCCTGTTTTTTTATTTTTAATTATATGCGCTAGGATTTATCATTTTAACTTGACTGTTTCTATTTCGGCTTGCATTGCATTGTGGCATACCATGTGGGTTAATAGTAGACTGCTAATTGAACTGGGTATCCTAGTTAGAATACTTATGTTATTGTGTGGGCAAACTCCTCTATGCATGGAATGTCTTCTGCTCTTGCTTCATATGAACGAAACAGACCTTCATTTATTGATATATAAATGTGTTCTCTGTAAATAAGATTGACTTATTTTTGTTTGCAGGGGGCCAACTTTGGTGAATTCTTTGAAGAATTTTTCTTTGCATAGTTCTCTGCGGCAACCGGCGTTTGATCTTATTACAACAATTATAATTTCCGACACTTCTGCTCTGATATCTCTTCAGCAGAGGAGTTGCGCTCTGCATAGAAGTAAATTCAGTACCCATGGTTATTTCATTGATGAGGAAGATGAGCTCATTTTATCTGAAGATACGGAAGAAAAGGATAACACTTGCTGGACTGAATTTAACATGTTGAGCAAGCTCGCTTCATCTGAATGCACTTGTTGGTCATGCGTTCCAATGTTATGGATTGATTCTTTGATTGATGTGGGCCCTGCAACTCTCCCTATAACATTTTCAAAGGCTCTTTTCTGGGCTTTGTCACGTTTATCTGTGCTGGAATTGAACTTTAGTTTGGATATGTCACTCTCAACTCGGGACTGGTTGTCCATATATGCAAGTGAGATCTCTTCATCATTTGGGTGGCAGATTCCAACTGGTTTTGATGACGGCGGGGAAGGGAAGGAGTCGAGAAACTCCATCAGGGCATCATCTATGTGCATTCCATTGTTAAGGACATTGAAGAGGTTTTGAGTGTTTTCATGATAATAATGTTCTCCATCATAATTTATCATTTTTTGAATTATGTTATTTGTGAAATCGAGCTTTTTGTAATCCCATGTCGTGCATTTGCGGATAACAAGTATGATTCTTCAGGTTGTCTTATTTGTTGAGTAACATAAGATCTTTTTTCTTTCATCATTTGAAATAGTTTTTTGGAATCATCTTTAGGCTTTCTGCTGAATTCATCTTGCAACTGGAAAAACTTGAACTTCAAAAACAATGGACATGGGAACCAAAAATGGCTGAGAGCTTGATACTTACGCTTGCAAACCATGATGATGTGCGATTCTGATTGTTCTATAATTTCAAAATTTCTTTTTTTTTTGACGAATATTGTTTTAACTAAAAAATTAAAATGCAAAGAAATTGCATGAAATTTGTAATCTCATTTTATTTGTTAACCTGGCATCATGACATAATTATAACACATGCAGGTTGTGAGGAAAGCTGGTAAAATTATATTGGAGTATTTGTCCAGTGAGCGTCTCTTGACTTCTGGACTCCAGTTTCTTTGTTCCACTGCTTCTTCTCTGTCTGCCATTCTTGCGGGTTTCAGATTCATGTTTAAACAGGTAGCTTATATATGCTTCTTAAAAGATCTTATAGATCCTTGATCGATGAAGTTGACCTGGTCTTTTCTATGCCATCGAGTCTAAGCATGTGACTCAGTTTTGTTGTTATGAAGCATTCTATGGCAGTCTTACCTTGTAAAGCTTGTGGACTCCTTTTTTGGGCTTCATTAATCAGTAATTGGTTTATGATCAAGTAAAGCTGGACTTGCGGGGGGCTAGAGGAAGTAGAATGCCACATTTCCTTGCTTTCGTACTGTTTCATGTTTTTGTTTTGTTTTATGTTCAGTTTTCCTTTTAAAGAAACTTTACCAATAGAAGAAAGAGCTGATAAGTTTCATGTTTATGTTCTTTTGTTTTTGAGTCTGGTTGTTATTTGGAGGAACTTGCCAAGAGAAGAAAGAGTTGAATACATTACATCTTGGCTGCAAACAGCAAGCGAGTGGCGAGATGGTGATGTGTGGATGTGAGGGGAATCCACCACTTATTCTTGGGCAAGCTATAAGCACATCATTGAAAAAAGAAGAGGCGATTACACTCCAGAGAGCAAAAATAAGAGAAAAATATCCAAAAATACATAAACTCAAGCTAAAAATCCATACAACCAAAACACCACCTATATAAAGGTCCCTTAATATAAAATAACCTAATTAGAAAACAAAGAAATATGGAAGAATCAGGAAAGGAAGAAACAAATGAAGGAAACATGTTGAAACTAATAAATAAGAAAAAAAAGATATCAAAAGCAGTTAATTCCTGTGTTCGCGGGATCTGCATGCCACAAAACCATAGAAGAAGCCCGCGTCTTGCATCACTTTCCTCGAGTAAGATAGGATTTGCCCTTGTCTTTGGAAACATCCAGCTCTTCGAAAAATTGGCGACATTAAAAGTAATAGAAAAATTGTAGTCTTCTAGTAAGTCAGCCTTTTAGGCATTGCCATCAACTTTAGGCCTGACTTTTCCGAATGAATCTGCATGAAATCTCTCCTTCTTTAGTCTCATCTAAACAATATTGCCTTCCTTGAAGCCATAGCTTTCTTTGGCCCATTAGCTGTTTGTGATATTTGATGTTCTTCTTAGTAATTTCCTTCCTGATTTGCTCATATAGGGTCAAAATATTCTTGACTCGAACCTAGACATCTATGTTAGGCTCAATAGCTGGCAATATCGGGACTAACTCCAAAGAGGTTAAAGGATTCCATCCATACAAAATCACAAAGGGGTTGTGACTTGTGTACGATCAAACTGCACTTGAGGAAAACCAAATTCCACTGTATGATGTTCATTCCGACAAAGCAGCTAATAAGATTTCCCAAATTGCGGTATGTAACCTCTGTCTGCCCATTTGTCCGAGGGTAAGCCGTTAAATTGAACTGTCGCATCTAGCTTGCCTTCTAAAGTCGTCCAAACGTGGCAGAGAAATTTCTCGTCTCTATTTGACTTAATACTTAGGGGTATACCATTAAAACAAACTATCTCCTTGAATTATAAATTTGCAATATGTGATGCATCCATCATCTTATGACAAGGAACAAAATGAGCTATTTTAGAGAAATGATGATAACGTTCCAGGGCTTCTAGAAGGTGTTTCTGAAGTTGGTTTTGGGTGAAAATGGTTGTGGAATAAGAAAGGAACGAAATACTTGGTTGACGACATTTGAAGGGAGATAAATGACGAAATATGCTATTGGACAACAAATTTGAGCTCTTTGTGTGCTGTCCTTGTTGAAAATAATGAGGCAGACAACAAAGCGACGTGGTGCTGACAGAGAGGAGGTTCACCATCTATTCATGAGCAAGATATCCTTACACCACTTCCACAAAAAAAAAAAAAATGATGCAACACTTATTAAGGTTTAAAACAAAAATTACAATCTCTAAAATACTCAAAACAAAGTTAATAGTCTCCAAACAGCAAAATACTCTCATAAATAGTCTCCTAATAATAAATAACTTTTATTATAAATAAGAAAATGGAAAAAAAAAACATAAAAAACAAGAAATTTCACTGCAATTGAAAAGAAGATTATATCACGGGAGGTATGACATCCCGCCATCACAGGATGTTTCACAATCACGGGTGATACTAGAGTCAAACTGAACAAAAAAAAAAAATTATTGCTAACAATCAAATAGAAGATTACAAACAATCAAGTAAAAATGAGAAATAACAATACATATGCTACTAGGGTAGTATCCAAAGAGGGGTGGTGTTAGTTGTTGTGCGGGATGGAGGTGCGGGAGGGGATTGTGGTTGTAGGATGGTTGTAATTGGAAAGAGGGTCGCGGTGGGGTGATGGCATAGGATGGTTGGTCTGGTTGTGGATGGTAACTGGACGGAGGATTGCAGGTGGGCGAATGACAAACCTGTAGGGGGAACGGGTTGCAACAGGTGTAGCAAGGAGGTGGTGGCTGAGAAGGGCGATTGGCAGACGAGAGCTGGGAGGAGGCGGGGATGGCAGCGACTGGACAGAGCATGTGGCGTGGTTGGAAAGGAGAAGGGTTGGGTTGCAAGGAGGCAACAAGGTTTCCCTGGGGTGGGGTGGTTGTAGCGGCAGCGATGACGACGACGACGACGTCGGTTGGGTTGCAAGGAGGCAACAAGGTTTCCCTGGGGTAGGGTGGTTGTAATGGCAGCGACGACGACGATGACGACAGCGAAAGTAAGGTTGTGAAGAATAGGAAGTCAAGGTAATAACTCCATTGGGAACGACCTATAGCCTGAGAACCACTCGATCCTTGGAAGAAGATCACATTCTCGGACGAGCTACTACCTGGCACCGCTCGCCTTTGGATACTACTCTAAAAGGGAGAAACCAGGATATCGACGACTGTCCTGAACATGAACACGACCAAAAATGAAAATTTAAATGCAGGAATCACATATATATGCCATAGATAATTAGGATTAGATCGCCTTATGGAAATGAGGGGCTAATCCCTTGTGGAAGAGCTCATCAACCCTCCCAGTTCTGGACCGATGCGGTCCAGACAAAGGAATCATGGGTGAGGGGCTAATCCCTTGTGGAAGAGCTCATCAACCGTCCCAGTTCTGGAGCGATGCGGTCCAGACAAAGGAATCATGGGAGATAGCCAATCTCTCCCTATACACCGCTCTCGTGACTTCGTTCATGCGCCTATGTCAATGTCCGAGGGTTGGGGAGATTTAACCTATTTCATCAAAACTTTTATTGGTGATGGAGAAGTTGTAACCCGCCAGAGTTGAAGGCTCTTCGACTGTAGCCCTAGAAGCTCTTGGATCCCACCGACGACTGCACTGTCTCCCAAAACACTTGCGGAGCTTTTTTCATTTGCGAGTAGAGATCTATATCGGCTTAATCTTCTTGGAGCTCACTATTGAATTGATTTGGGTCTACATCTCACATATATACTGCTGAATGTTCTTAGTGCAACTCAATATTGGTTCAACCCGATTTGAAGTGGGTAGCTTGTATTTCCGTAAATGATGGTGGTCATGATGTTATTCTATTGAATAAAATGTTCTGAAACTCTCTCTGTATTGGTTGCGATGTGTCTGAAGCTGTTTCTTCTGTCTCGCTATCCTCTTTCATCACCAAAATGGATCCTCTCGACATTTTTCTGCTGGTGCGAGCACTTGTAACCATATTCGCTGATGTTAGTTCTCAAGACACTCACAACTTCTGATAAATTTTCATTCAGGGAGCAACAAGGTGTTAGCCAACCTTTTGGGCTGGTTTCACCTACTTTTTGTCATTCTCCCCCTCTCATATGGTTAAAAACTAACTTCGATGGCGCTCTACTTTCTACTGGATCCACTGGTATTGGCATTGTCATCCTCAACAACAATGGCATTGGGATTGTTGCGGCTAGACAACTCCTTCAACATTGGGATAGCGACCAAGCGGAACTCAAAACGGTTTCCTTTTTCAAACACATTTGCTAGCCAAGGATGCTCGAATATAAGGGCATCATCATTGAGGGAGATAACACCAACATCATGAACTTTTTGCAATCTACTATGCGTGATGAAAGTTGGTGCCTTAGACCACACAAATCACCAGACTTAGCTTTTTCTCTTACAATTTATGTAAGTTTTGTTTTGTTATACGTCCGCGAATGTAATAGGACCACTCATTTTTGTGTCAAGCGTGCCCTTAATGGTTCTTTTATTTTGATGCATGTAAATGACGATAGATAACTTTCTACTATACTTAGTATATGACATGTCTTTTTTGTACACCATAGTTGTATGCATGCATAGTTTTTGTACTTTTTTTGATATATTAATTCAAATGCATTTTTTCACGAAAACTCCATGAGACACCTCTTATCAATGCTAACCCTATTTTCCTTCTTTAGTCACGTCAGGGAATATGGTTGTGAATGCCTCTAGGTCATGAGGCTCAATTTGTCCACAATTTATGTGGACGTCTCATTCTTTCTGCTCTCTCCAATGAGATGACTACATACCTTTCCTTTTACATTGCAATAGTTGTATAATTTGTTATGACGAAGCCACTTCTGCCACTCGTATCCTTAATTTGTAGGACCCTCCGAACCAACATCTCACCCTCTTCCGTGGGAGCTGGTACTCCTCACCCTGTTCTTTAGCTGACTCTTGGTCACTCACTTACTCTACTGCCCCTTGCTTGGTGAAGGAGACGACTTGGCTCGTCGAACAATTGAAAGCAATGTGTCTAAAATCATGGCATCTGAAGCATTTCTTGTTTGGGACTGTGGTGGGCGTGCTACACTTCTCAGGCTTCTTATCACTCGGAGTGGCTCTGTGATGTTCCTGACCAGTCTGCTTCACTCCTTGAGGCATGCTCCTTCTGAGGTTTCTCATTGTGGGTGGCTGTCTGACTGACGGTGGTTTCCTGCTCTGTTTTTGCTGTCTCTCCATTTTTAGTGCAAAGTCCTGCATGCCCCTCAGTGTGCAATATATTTGCAGTTGGACTACATTATTGATGGCAGACTTCAAGCCTCCCAAGTACCTAGTTGTGGTGAGTTCTGGCTCTTTT